TTAGGTCTATGATAAAATTAAACAATGAGATGAAGGATTCTCAGCTGGCAATAATACTAATAGCTTGTTTTTTTTTTTTTTTTTTTATTAGCACTCATTATGTACCAGGGTGTTTTTTTTTTGTGGTAAATATTTTCTTGCTTAATTTTTATAGCAGTTATGAAGTGAGTACCATTATTTTTCTTATTTCAAAGCTGAGGAAACTTAGGCATAGAAAAGTTAATTGCCCAAAGTTATAGAGTGAGAAAATACTGAAATAATAGTATTCAAACTAAGGATGTTGTTTCTTGAGCCTGCACCCTACCCTTAGTTGCAGCTTCATATAATAAGAACAGCTGTAAATAAGGAGAGTAAGGATCAGAGACTCCAACTAAGTTGATCCAGGTTGCACAGGTAGTAAGACAAGCACTTGTTGCCAGTCCAGGTCTGTGCGACTATTTCAGGTTGGATGGCTTCTCCTGCTGTTCCCGTCTCAGGAAGGAACAGCATGAACTTCATGGAAGGAAAATGCTGCTGCCCATTGTATTGGTTTATTCCCTAAGGCTGGCCCTGTCTGAGAACTCAGCATCCCTTGCTTCCAAGGTGAGAGGCTGGGAGGCGTGGACCAGTACCAGGGGTGTGCTGTGCTGTACATGAGCATTTCCCTGAAAAGGTCTGAGCTGGGTTTTTTTTTTTTGTTTTGTTTTACTAAATTCCATCTGTTTCATCTGCCTTTTGAAGACTATCCTCATTCATCATGGCCTTACCATTCGTTTTCCATATTTCTTTCTCTTGGCCCAATCTCTCTAAATAATTAATGACTGATGAATAGAGTAGCACTCCTAGAAAATGTTGGGTTTCTATTCAGCAAAGGGTTTTGACGGGATCACATTTTCCATTGAACGATTGTAACATGACAATATTTCAACCTTGGGAAGCATCCGGAGTGCTGGTGCCCTGGGGTGATGCAAAGAGCCCTGGTCACTGGTGATGTAGTGTCCTGCCTCGGCTGTGCCTTCCACATCTGTGTCTCTTTGGGCAGATTAACTTCCCAGAGTCATAGGTTTCCTCCAATGCAAAATGGGATCTGATTAAATGAGATGATGTCCTAAAAACCTTTTGGTTCTGGAATTGGCTGCTGACAGGGCCTAACTCTGTCTTTTCCCCCGCCCCTGTGGCCAGCCTCCCTTCCCCAGGCAAACTAATGTCAGAAAGAATCAACCAGCAGCACAGTAACTAATTGATCTCCGACATGTGCTTCTAATTCTCATAAAGGGCGTTTGACCACAGTGAGCATTGCCTGTGCTTGAGGTATTTTATGTGGAAATTTGAAGGTTTCTGATAACTTTCTGTGAAGATGTTTTCACAGTGACTAAACCTCTTGGGGCTCTTTCTGTCTCAAGTTCAAGTTACTTAGATAGTGATTAAGGCTGTTTTATAGGCCCCTGTGGTAAATGATAACAGTAGAGAAAAAAGCATTCTTTAGCTCTGTAATTTAGCAGGATAGTATTTGGGTTTTCATCCACCGGGTTTGCTCAAATACTTTGAATAATTAACCTGCTCTCTCTGCAGCCTGAGGAGTCTCCGAAGTTTCCATCCAGGCAAGTGATGAGTGATCACCCTGCACAAATGGACTTATTTATTTAGAAGACTCTTTATCTCTGTCCAGCTGCTTTTTCTTGGGTTGACAGACAGGAGACCCAGTATCCGTTCACTTTACAATATTTATAAAATAGAATAAATCAATGAGACCAAAGAGCAAAATGCAATTGTTTATTTTATTTTCCTTATTAGGGCCCCTGCAACTGAGAGAGAGCCTATTGAACATCAGCACCTTCAGGGGAGTTGAAATGAGTCTTCGGATTCTGCATAAAGGATTCTAAACTGCAGGCAAGGACATTCCCAAGGACAGGCAGCCAGGAGAGGAGGAGGAGGAGGCAAGAGGCAGCCTGTGCTTCAAAGACTCTCATGACCTAACCAAGAGGTCCTAGGAGGAACGTCTTAAGTCACTTTATAAACCAGCAGCAGTGACAGAAGCCCTTGGGAAGGTAAAGTTTTTCCTCCGGAAGCAAAATTTCCAGAGCAGCGCAGGCCAGAGATGGTGTCCCTTGAGGCCACATTGCCATTACGTCTTTTTTTAGAAAAATGCCCTGTCAAGGGCTGTGCTTGCTTTCTGGCCCCAGTTTTATCCAAACTAAGTCTCAGAGGCTCATTTTTGTTTTCAGAGATCTCAGATCCGGGAGCATCTTGGCACAGAATTTGCCAAGAGCGTCCCTTCAGCTCACTCTGTGCTGGGGCCTCCCCAGTTACATTTTGTGGGGGGTGCTCAGTTTTTATTGTCTTATTTTCTTCACGGAATGGGTCATCCTGCTCCTTTAAAAATGACAGTGAGAGAGCAGGAGCCACACTGATTTTTAAGGTGGAGGCGAGACAGGGCTTTGCAATTCATAGAGCTTCACCAGGGGTGGAGGCCTGGTATCTACGCAGCAGTGACACTTACCTTAAAAAACACTGGGCTTGGGTTGAGGCTGGGGCTCAGTGGCAGAGTATTTGCCTAGCAATGTGTGAGGCACTAGGTTTGAGCCTTAGCACCGCATATAAATAAGCAAATAGAATAAAGTCATTCTGTCCATCTACAACCACAAAAAAAAAAAATTAAACAAAACAAAACAATACTGGATTTGGCAATGTTCCCTGTAAGGGGTTCGCCACAGCAGTGTGCATGGCTGCAATGGATGTGGCTTGCAGGATATTTTAAACTGAGTGTAATTTGGTGCCTAATCATTTAAAAAATGGCCGAGAGAATCTCTCATACACCTGATACCCCTCGTTTTCCGTGATGAATTCTGCTCCTTCACATGATGAAGTATAACATTAGAGAAGCACGTGAAGCATGTGAAGCAGGGTTTATTTAAAAAGGGGTAACACAGGTTTCTCCAGGGAGGGAGAAGGGGGCCATAGCTGGTATCCTGGTATCCCAAGAAGCAAGGCCTTCTGCCTTTTTAAATATATCTTAGGCTTCCTTTGTTCTCCTGCTCTCTTCTCCTTATCTCTTTCCTTCCTGGTCCTGACCAGGCCCAGGAGATGCTCGATGGGATGGCCAAAAGGTGAGAGGCAGATGGATGGGGTGAAGGGCCTGGTTGGGAGGATGGAGCAGCCCTGGAGGAGGGAGCAGTCCAGGACACATTAATTAACAACTTTAGAACTCTCTGTAGGGAGGGGCAATTCCTGGGCAACAGGTTGGAGCCAGGCTGTTATCTTGATAGGGTGGAGGAAGGGCTCTGAAGGCATTTCAATCCCTTCAGGGGACAGTCTCCAACTTCCAGGACTCACTCAAATTGGCCTCCTAGATCTGATCTGACTCAATTTACCTATCCATACTGACTGTCTATCTAATTCTGCCTTCATACCTATCCAAACCCCAACTCGGAAGTCAGAAGAACAAGTAGGGGTGCAGGGTCCTTGTATGTATGATCCTCCCCTCAAACACTCAAAATGGAAGCCTTTTGGTCTCTCTGGGGTCTGCCAAGGCCGCATGAGCAGAGTCTTCTGTGCAGTTTGCTTTGGGCTCCTTCCCACCCCATCCAGCTGTGTGGTGCTTGCCTTGCCCCTGCCAGGCCTCCAGGACGTCAGAGTGTCCGACCAAGTGAAAGTCCCACTGCAGCTGGGAATGTCTGCATTGCTGCTCTGGGGAAGAAAAAGAAAAAGGGCATCTCCACTGCAGGCCCTGCCACCAGGTCCCTTGGCCACCAGACTCAGAGGGATCTCCAGGCCCAGACCAAGTCCCTTGTGTTTGTTTTACACTGATAATGGCATTTCCTAGGCACCCCAGAAAACATGCCCTTTCCACAGCGACTGGCTCCATCAAACATCATGCACAGTTGGATTTGGACTCTACATCGCTTTTTTCTCTTACCTGTCTTGTTTTCTTTTTTTTTTTTTTTAATTGTAAAAATATATAATTTATTTTAGTAAGTTTATGCTATTATATACTTTTGATAAAGCATTTTTATCTGTTTAAAAATACATTCTTTGGCACATTATAGTTATACATAATATTGGGGTTCATTTTTTTTTCATCTACTGGAATTTATTCATATATTCATAATTCCCTTTGCACCTATGGCTTACTTACTCTGTCAGAGATCATAACTATTTGCACTCATGCAAAGAAAGTCTGGAGATATGGGATCTAGGGGTGCAGTCTCTCTCTTGTCTTCCCATTTTTCCTTGAAGGAGGTATCCTTGATTTGCCTCATTACAATATGGCGGCAAGGGCATCAGCCATCAAGTCTGAGGTCCACAGAGAGTGTAAGGGTGTATGTCAGCTAATTCAGCCCCTATAAAAAAAGAGCTTTCAAAAAGGCTATCCTGGGGAGATCTCTGCTGAGATTATATAGCTCAGAACAGTGCCATATAAGTCCCCTGCCCCATGTACTGCAATTTTTTGTTAACCTGAGCACATTGTTGTTCCAATTAGCAATTTGTTAGGAAGAAGCTTAGAATTGGGCATTTGAAGAAATGAGACTTAAAATGTCCACCTCACTATTTTGTGGTGGAGACTAAGCCTATCTGTTTCAAGCATATCAGTGTTTGATGGAGTGGTAGCACATGAAAATAGGAGTTCCTTCTGTCTCTCTGGGTTTATTTCCCCCTCAGGGCATTGTTCTCAGACTGAGCACACCCTGGAACAATACCTGATACCACGATTTGTTCTCCATCTAATTAACTCCAATGCACCATTTCATTTTTAGGGAGAAGACGGATGGCATCAGAAAAAATATTCAACCTACTTATCATCAATGGAGCATTTAAAACCAGAACAGCCATTTTGCACAGAACCTTTTTTTAACACTCACAGAAGCAACTAATTGTTATTTCAGACATAGCTGTCCACAAGCTGTTAAAAAAAAACAAACATGAAAATGGTTGACCGTACTGCCTATGTTATCATTATATAAGACAGCATTCTTTTAATCACCAAATAGAGTTTGCACTACAGAGAATAAACTATCTGCACATTCATTTAGCATTATTTTTATTTTAAGATCTTTATTATTAACATTGGGGAGTTTCCAAGTGTGTTAGAAATCAACACAGAAAATTAGAGACAATTCTCGCACATCACTGCAGATTTTACATTCTCTTCCATTTGAGCATTTGGTTGTAGAGGCACACAGCACAAAAGAATGTATTTAACTGAATGTCAATACCCCTGATCTGATATTATCCAGGCAAACATCATCCAGAAGCAAAATGGGGAAAGAAATCTAGACCTGGGGAAAGTAAACTAAAAAAAAAAAAAAGTGAGGAGTGCTTTCTGATTATTGTCCTGATTATTCTTTTTCTACCTTGGAGATTGTAATACTCTAATTTTGTCAAATAATTGCTGCTATCAAATCCAAATTTTCCATGTGTGAGTGTGTGTGATTTTAAAAAAAATGGAATTTGCATTCCTGAAGCAAGACAGAAAAAAATGTGCAAAATGTACATCACTTAGATCTCTGTTAAGGTCCAGGAGAGTTTTGCAACTTATGACCTAAGCAAATTTTTTATTTCACAAGTCAACGGGAATGACAGATTTTTCATGTGTTCATTTAAAAAGTAACTTGCTTCTGGGCAGTAGAAAGAGGGGAAAGAAGCAATGAAGGAGAGAAGCCAGGCAGGAAGGGAAGAGAGAAAGAAAGAAAAATGTGGGGACAGAGAGAGAGAGATTGATTTTCCAGAAAGAAAACAGAAACTGTGTGTATGTCTATAGAGATGTATATTTAAATAAAATAAACAAATAAAATCTGTAACATACACTTATTGCCAGAGCAGTAACAACAGAAAACACACACACACACACACACACACAAATAATTTCAAATGTAGCTAATTATGCCTCAATTGATAATTCTGAAATTGATTCTTCCCTCAAAGGTGATTGAATTTATGCCTAAAGTAATCATAATTTGATAGCTATTAACCTAGAAACAGAGTATAGAAATTTATCGCATGTTCTAAAATGTAACTAGTCCCCTAACATTTAGATTCTTCATTTAATATATATTAAAATTGCCTTGTTTGTATTATATTTCACAAAATCATCCATATGAATGCTTGCTCCAAGTTCAACAAAAGATTTTATTTTCAATTTCGAACTAGAGGCATTTATGTCTTATAAGGTGACCAAGATGTTTCTGGGCACAAATGAATACATCCTTCTCTCCGCACCTGCTCCAAGGAGCAGGGAGTGGTGGGGAGGGAGGCTTCTATTCCTTGCATAGCAGCCCATACTGCAGGCTTTCAGGTCAGAGGCCAAGTTCTCTCTCAAAGGGTCTGAGGATGTCCACAACTGTCTTTGAGAGAGTGATACCGCTCTAAATGACAATGTCAATGTTTCTTCTGCCACAGGGTTACTTAGCTCCAGTGCTCATTAGTTACCCAGGCAAGCGGCAGTGGGAAAAGTCCCAGAATTGGTGCACTGTCCAGTTTTTTTACAGCCCCTGTCTCTGCCTGCTGATACTGAGACACCGTGAGAGGCAGATTCGATGACTCTGTCTGGCCAATGATTTCACATTTATGTATCTCAATATGACGGTACTCAAGGCATGGCTTATGTGTCTTGGTTAGACGACAGGATGCTTTTTACAAGAAAGCACTCTCCAGTTATCATTTTCTATAGATTAAAAAACGTACTCGTTCTAGTTTTCCTGTCTTCCAGTCTTTCCTGATTTTAGCACCTTGCCTTTATTCCCCATTACTGAAAATTGTTCCTCCAATTGAAGGTACAAGTAAATGAGATAATGAGAGGAGACGAAACTTACTCCTCTAGTCTTCATAATAGATTTCTAAACCAAATTGCTAGCAAAAAAAAAATAAATTTTGATGACATAAAGCTATGGAATGTATATATTATTTTTTTATGAGTTTAACCTACTCTACTTACTACCATCACCAGAACACAGCTGTAACATTTTTTAAAGCCATGATTACAACTACTTGCCTTAGGTGATTGGCTGAAGATAGATCAAGCAGGAGCCCCACTTATGTGCGGGATTACATCTGGGACTCTATGGAGACTCGATTTAGAGTCAGGAGAGCTTTCCGATAAGGAGCTTCCTTACACTCCTCCTCGACAGAGGTGGTGGTCCCCTCCGGGTTTTCACAGCTGCTGACGATGGCAACTGCACTAAAGGACCTTCTTCCGACACTGGTGTCTGAGGTACAGGATTCTCGGACGGGTGATGACTTTCCCATGTTGTGTAGCTGCTGGTCTTTCCAGTCCAGCTGTTTGGCACTGCAAAAGGGGGCATACACTTCCACACTTCCCTCAAACTGCAAGCAATTTACTTTGTAATACTTCCTCTTCACCTCCAAGACATCATTAAACCTGTGGCCCCAGAGGATTTCTCGGGGCACATAGGAGCTCCTCGATTGGTGAGAGGTCCCAGTAGAATCACCAGTGTAGATAAAGGTCACCAAGATCTCAAAGTTGTCTTTGGCCACTGCTTTGCGATCGAGGGCATACAGGGGACTCTCATGGTCAATCTCGTGAACGATTGTTACTGGGGTCACTAGAATGATCTGGTCATTGACTAACTTGAGGTCTTTAAATGCCATTGTCATCCGCCCTTCGCTGTCTTCTGTATAGCGGAGAAGCTGGGCTCTCACTGTCCCTTCTACCACGTGGTTTGGTCGGAAATCACCAATGCGCCACATGAGGCAAAGCTTCCCATCCCTCATGCCTATCAGAGCAAAATAGCTGAATCGGATGGTCTGGGCTCTCTTCCGGGCAGTTGCCATTTTGGCCAGGGCAGCTCCAATGATAAAGGTGTTGATGATGCAGCTTAAGATGGACTGCAGGATCACCGTGAGCACTGCCACCGAGCACTCCTCGGTGACACAACGGTAACCGTACCCTATGGTGGTCTGGGTCTCCAGGGAGAATAAAAACGCCCCCGTGAAAGAGTGAACATTGTCGACACAAGGTGTGACGTCTGGGTCATTGAGCAGGTCTCCATGATGAAAGGCGATCAGCCAAAAGACGGAGCCAAAGATCAACCAGGAGAGAATGTAAGACAAAGAAAAGATCACAAACATGTGGCGCCATTTGGTGTCCACCAGAGTGGTGAAAATGTCCACCATGTAACTCCCCCATTCCCCAAAAATGTGCTTGAAGTACACATTGCAGTTGCCGTCTTTGTGCAAGAGACGCCGTCTGGCCCTCCTCTTCTCAGCTATGATGTGCTCTGGAGGGTAGCCTGGGTATTTGGAGTCCACGTTTACAATTCGATAGCTGCTGCCGTAATAGCTCATTCTCTGTTGTGTCTTTAGGGCATTCAGTTGAGTTCTGTAGCAGTAATCGTTCTAGGTGTGTTAATGGTTCTTGATTTTTTTTCAGTTAAGATCTAAAAATAAATAAATAAGAAAATTAAACCCACTGAACTTTTAGCTTTGGATTTCTACCTTCATAGCCATTGGACAAATCTGCAGCAATTATCTGCCATCTGAAATAGCTACGACTTCGTTTGAACCATAGAGACATTCAGTATTGATTTCTCGTTTCAGTTTAGAATTCAATAGAGTCGTCGTGATAGCAACAAAATATGCGATCAGAGAAAATAACATTTTTTTTCTATATGCGGAAAGCTTGAGTAAACACTATGATTATACCAAATGATACCTCACTACTCTTTCAGACCTGAGGATAGAAAACATTTGCTTTTGTTTTTGTAGATTCTTCTTGCATGAGGGCATCTAGAAAATAAACTAATTCATAATAGACAAAGGTAAACTATAATTTGGTTATTTGTCCAGCAGTCTTATAAGTGTTCCCAGTGCTGAATCCATACGGTTTTCCTTGGAGAACAACACAAGAAATAGTTTCTACCTCCACTTAATGGAACTTACGTGCTGGTTGCTAATAAGTGGTCCTCACCTCCACTGCCTGCTGCTTTGTCTCTCTTTCCACACACACTTCTCTTCCTTGTGTGCTTCCCAGGATACAGCAGAACCCCGGAGCATCTACTGCAGATTAAACACCTTCCCCCTAGCTCCACCCTTAGTCTTAACTGGAAAATACTTTTTCTTACCCTAGAGGAGTTAAAACCACTCCCAGGTAAGCTTTCGGTAAGGTGTAGAGTTGCTTCTGCCTTTGTCTCATAACATCCATCCTTTCTTTCATTCTTTTATCCACCCCCCCCCCAGACATTGGCAGCTCGTCTCTTTCCCTCTGAATAGAAACCTAAAATTTGCCAAAGTTGCTAATCTTGTTCTCTCTTAAAGGGAGCCTACTGCCACACAGTTGGATCCTTCTCTCTAGCTCTTCATTGGTTTTCCGATGCCTTCACAACCAACCCCAGGCAAAGTATCATTGTTCTCCCTTTAAGCTCAGTTGTGAAAAAGTTAAAGCACAACATATCGTTTTCAGTATCCTTGATATAGACCAATGGATTTCCCAGATCAAATTTGAAAGTAAACTCTAAAAATACAAAGTCAAAAATCCTCTTTAGTCACTTCTGTATGAAAATAAAACAGAGAACTAACTGCGGACCATTTTAATGATTTAGTGATTATTAAGAATGTGTGTTCTGCATACTCCACTTATGCTAGATGGAAGAAAGGGAGTGCAGGAAGGGAGATCATACAAGAGGATCCTGCCATTCGGCTGCATAGAAAATGCAGTAAAAATAAATACTGTCCCTGACACTAAGATCCCCTGCTACCAACCAGGGAAAAGAGTCACTAAATACTCACTCAACACCCGTCCTCCCTGAAAAAGGGAAGAAAGAGTTAACTACTCCCACTGAAATTGAATCATTGTCCTCTTTCTGCTAGGGATCAGGCCCACTTACAATGAACTCTTTGTTTAGTGGACCACTTAGGAGGAGGCACTCAGCTCACCGCCCCAAAACACTGTTAGGCTCCAGTGGATTTCTCTGTCCACCTGCCTGCCTCTCAGCCTGATCTGTTCTGAGTAGCTATGTCCTCTTGCTGGTCAGCACTGACAGCACGGTTTTGGGAGGATGATTCTATAACTTCAGAACATGACCTGGGGCTGCCAAAATGCTTTCTGGAATATAGAACGTAAAATAGTGCCATAAACTTTGTCTGTAGCATAAACAAATAGAAAATTTGCCAAAATTTAGTTGCTTTAACAATCACCATCCATTGACCCTTGGAGATTCCTGTCTCATTCGCCATTAAATGACACTACAAATAGAAGTCACTATGGGATTCAATCTCTGCTCCTACTTGATCCAGGATGCCTCAGAATGGGATGAATTAGAATCAGAGGCCCATATGATTTCAAATTAAAAAGCAGATGTGGAAATAGGATTTTTGTTTTTATTACATGCTCCTACCCTGATTCCTTAAAGAAAATTGCATGTATCATGGGAGGCTGAAAGTTAGAAAGCATAGTTCATAAATTAAGAGCTACTGTGTAACTCTGCTCTTTCATGTTGCCAAAAGAGAAAAACACTTTTTATTTGAAATGGCATTTGGTTGGCATCCTTGTGAATTCCAGGGGTGCCAGCAACTGTTCTAAACAAGCCACTTTTAAAACACCTTCCAAAACACGCTAATGGGTGCATGAATTTTCAATTAATTCAAGTTACCAGCGAGCAAATTCAATTATGTGGAAAATTTGTTGCTGAACAATGGAACAATTTTAGAAGTACAAGTTACAACTGTGAGAATTATGTGCCATCTTCTGATGTGGTTCATTATTGGGATCATTCATTGCAACTGATCTGGAGACAAGCTTTCAGATTCTACTAAGGTCCATAAACTGTATTCATTTATTCTTTGACTCTCTCTGATCATGGAATTGATGCATTTCTTATGACAAATGTCTTCAAGCTAAATGGAAGATGATAGCCAAATAAATCATATTACCTATTTCTCAGTATACACTATGAGGAAAGAAGTTTATGGAGGCCCTTTGGTCAAAACAGCTAAACAAAATAAACATTAGCTAACCTCTTGGTTAGTACATTGTGTTAATATGAACAACTGCTTGCCATCAACTAGCAAAGGAGAGCACCAATGGATTGACTGGAATTCCATATTTAACATTGTGTTTCTTAGAATTAAACCCCAGCCTTATATTTGCCTAAATGTTTGCATAATCATCTTGATGCCTTCAGTTCCATCATGAAAAAGCATTTGCAATCTCCCTACTTCCGTATTTAATTTTGCATGTTGCTGTCTAGAAAGTGATGGTGACTATTTTATTGGGTTTAAAATTCCTTCTTTTTTAAAAAAAATTGAGAAAGGAAATTAGATCAATTGTAATTTCAAAATTATGGAACATGAAGTTCCAAGGTAAGTGCTGAGGCCCATTTTGCCAGATAGTTAACCACAAAGGTGGGGAGAGCCCTGAGATTCCTTGGCCATAAGCATGGACTCTTACAAATGAGACTAGAGTAAGGACAGTAGCAAGGTCAGGATGGCAAACCCTCAGAAGGTCATCAGAGCTTATTAAAATGTCCAAGACACCAAGAAAAGCCTAAGAGGCCCCTTGACTTACTTGATGCCCTGGAGGAAGTCGGGAGAGAAGAAGTTGGTGGGGTTAAACCACCCAATCCTGCTGGCCACTTTTCTCATCTAGCTTATCATATGAAATTCAGACATAAAAATGTTTTTTCTTAATCAACTTGACTAGCAGGATGTGCATCTAGTTCTTAACCTTGTAAGTCTTCAATGGATTAAAAAACAGTCAACTAATTCAGCACATTTCAAATGGGTCATCAACAGCAGGGAATATTTTCAACAAAGCCTACAAGTACCCAACATGTTTTTCCTCATTTCTTGATGTACAAAATTGTCTCAGTCAGACTCATAGATTTTCAAGCATGTTTTTCCTGCCATTTTGCCACATTGTCTCATTCATTTATTGACTTTGCATACTATTGCAGATAGTCCTTCAAAAGTAAGCTTTTGGGGTGTGCTGAAGGACTAGGGATTGAATTCAGGGTTAGTTTGCCACTGAGAAACATCCTCTCTCCTTTTTATCAACTTGCAATCCTCTTGCCTCAGCCTCCAGAGTACTTGGGATTATAAGGGAGAGCCACTGCACCTGGTCCAACGTATATTTTTTGTTAGCATGCTGAGGGTACAAACTGGTGCCACATTGATAATAAAATCTGATCTTGTCTCCAGCATCTACTGAACACAAATATATTCGTTGCCTGGTTAATTGTATAATTTGTGATGCACCACCAAAACAAATGGTCGAAAAATTCTTTGGTAAATTCAATTACTGTTGTCCGTGCCCTTTGAGGTTAAAAGTACCCTCTTTCCCACATCAAAGACCAGAGAAGTCAATGCAAATCATCAGTAGTAATCAAAGTACTCTCCTGGCAACTATTAGATATGTTTTGGTGGAAATGTGAGAGCCTACTGGATAGAGAGTAGAAGAGATGGCCTAATTCTTCAAGCAGGTCATTGGCCTTGAACACAGGTTTGGTCGGTCGAGCTCTTCGGGAATCAGCAAAGACACTGAAGGGGTGGGAGAACAGATCAATCAGGGAATGCAGACAGGTGGTGGCACAGTGCGGGTGGGCACTCCTCATAGAGGAAGGGGAGAGGGGGGTTGATCTACGACAGACCCTACACAGTCAGGCTGTTTTCCTACTTTGTTCAAAGCCTGTTCCACAGCTCCTTGCTTGGGGTAAGGGCCCTGTTTTGCTTGGAATTCTGATAAGACATACAGACACTTAGAGGAAGCTCTACATTCCGCCTCTGAATTCCTGCTTCACTCCGAACCTTCTAGGATACAGTCCAGACTTCTCCAAATCCCCCGATATCTGGCTTCAGTTTCTCCTTGGTTCACAAATCCCTGGCTTCCTTCACAGCTCCAGTTTGAAGCTGCAGTCGGGGATAGAAACACAGAGCATCACCAGTGACATTATCCCGAAGTCCTGTTTCCAGCCCAGCTTTTCCTAAGGGGATATCTATATCCTCATCATAAATCCGTCCTCGCCCAGATGCTGCTATGTTCTATAAGGAAGTAGAAATTTGGAGACTGGGATTTCGTTTTCCTCTGCATGTCAAGTTTGTATTAAAATCAGTTTGATCGTTACATGTATGTATGTATCAAAATATCACCCTGTGTCCCATAAATATGGATACATGTTATGTTTAATTAAAAATAAAATAAATTGTAACAAAATAACATGAATTATGATTCCGTGTAATTTGGTTTAAAGGTCAAATTATTTTAATAAGAATTAGTCTCAGTGTTTTTTTTTTTCTTTTTTGTATAATAGAGAAACCCTGAAAGAGAAGGCAGACCCTAGTGCCAGGTCTGTCCTCAACTTCCAGAGCACTTTTTATAAGTTATTTTTCTCTAAACCTCAATATACTTATTCTTGATATAGGGGCATAATACCCATGTTACTGA